AGGGACCCGGCACCGGCCCCTCGCTCCCCTGCTCACCCAGCAGGCGAGTCCAGCTCTGACACAGACCGGGGGCCCGGGAGCCTGAGACCCCGGAGACCCCCATCGAGGGCAGCAGCTGCCCAGCTCTGGCTGACCGGCCCCACACACAGTGGCGGCGGGCAGGACCGGATGCTGCCTGGGGGACCAGGAGCGCGGTCTGGGGGTGAGGTCCCCAAGTGGTAAATGTCAACCACCAAGTCCAGGCTTTCGGGGGACCAAGGCTGTGAAGTCTGCAGATGCTGGAGCCACAGACCTGCCCGTGACCTCCCTCTGCTGCTCGGCCACCCCTCCTGCCCCTCCCCTGGGGTCCCTCCCCTGGGCCCCTCACCGAGGGCTCCGCACACCCCAGACAGCGCCTGGGGAGGGGAAAAGGCTCCAAAGAGTCCTGGCAGCTTCTGTGGGAGCCACTGCCTGAGCCCGGAGGCCTCATGGTCACTCCGTGGGCTGTGCCACGCCCCAGAGTCCCCACCCACTGCCACCCCGTGGGCCTCTATCTGCCATGAGCTTCCACAGCCCCACCTTCTGCCTCCCTCCGGGCTTCTCCGAGGTGATCTCGCTGCGGCCCCCAAACTGCCCTGCGTGGAGATGACCACGGAGCAGCGGTTAAGGGGAGGGGCCTATTGCTAACCCACCTCCTGATGGATTAACTTTCAAAATAAAGACTCAGGCTGGTGTCTGGATGCAGGGAGCCGGGGCCGCCTCCTCAGCTGTGGCAGGTTTAGGGCTCCGGGGCCACCACACCCATGCCCCCCACCGAAGGGTCAATCACCAGGGGGCGCCAGAGGGCAGACCGTGCAGGGAGGCGCTGGCCACAGCCTGATGGCCTGGACGGGAGACCACCTCCCTGTCCTGCAGCCTGCCTGTTACGACACATCCACCAAGACAGAACCAAGAAGTAGATGAGCCTGAGGGAACCCGTACGGCCACATGGACAGCAGCCCAGGACTCCCAAGTGTCCCCCAACACCGGCCAGCGGCCTGTTTCCCCACAAAGGCAGCCTCCCCCGCCCCAGCCCCGTTGGCCGCCCGTCAGGTACAACCCAACGCGCTCTCGGAGCTCATAACCCTGGAAACCGCCTGAGA